GCTTTCAACAAAAAACATAATAAACTCATTTGTCAGTGGATTGTTCTGTGGAAAAACGTTGTGGCTTTCAACAAAAAACATAATAAACTCATTTGTCAGTGGATTGTTCTGTGGAAAGGTGTTGTAGCTTTCAACAAAAACCACAAAAAACTCATTCGAATATATAGATATATATTCGATACTATATGGAGATACAGTTATGAATTTTCTTAACATTTGAACTTGATCAAATCTGTTGAATTTAACCATGCGAATCACTCCTGTAATTGCTTAACATACTGATACGAATCTTCTTTATTTTTAAAGAAAAGTTCGAAAACAGTTTCATTGTGCTCAAGAATATGTGAATGTATTTGTTCGTAAATGTACAAGAAGCTGCGTGCATTACTTGCTGTTATTTGGAGCTTACAATGACGAATGATGTTTTGAAACTAATAATTCTAAGCTCTTGGTGTACGTAAGTCATTCACCGTGAGTAAGTTGCTTCAGAAAAATAAAACTTCCTATCAACCAGCTAATAGTCTTTACAGTTAGGTATATTTGTCGTTAAGCCTTTCTTTTGTGTTAGTGGGACCCAGTAGTACAGAGCAGTAAGGACAAAAGCAGAGATATTTATCAGGATATTATGTATAACTTGGTGAATCAGATGAAAACTGAGAAGCACGTGTTTAGAAATGGAAAGATATAAAAAAGTAATTGTTAGTGTTATGGAATGATGTGTTGAAGGTCTACCTTCTGACGATATCAATGAGGTCGTTTAAGGTCAACTTCAAGGTCATGTCTTTCGAAACTTTTATTAAAATGCATCATACACCGGAAATGTCAACTGCGATAGGGTAGAAAATAGTAAGTGAAACATTTCAAACAAAAATTACCAGTATTGCTCCACAACAATAACAGTTATAGTTGTTCTACAAGAATAACAATTATAGTTATAAACAAAGACGAAGTAATCATCCTAACAGTGTTACAAAATGGTTTAAAACAATCAATAGCATAGTTAAAAGGGTTGCACAAATGTGACAAGTGCCGTTAGTGTGCCCTAACAGCGTCTATAGGTAAATGAGACTGTAGTACGCAGCCGCATTTCCACTCATATAATGTGCAGGATAACGTTCATCTGGGAATCGCTCAGCATACAATCAGGCAGTAGTCCGAATACGCTGGTGACACTATCTATACAGTAGGACCATGTTAAAATATTCTTTAAATATATACTGCACCCTTAATTAAATGATCTGGGAATGGTTGCAACAAAGTAGAAGGCTCATATTTTATACAAAAGTCTGACCTTAACCTCGAATCTAGGTCTGTGTATCAACTTTTTCTATGGTCGGATTTCGATCTTCTGTGGTACCACTCCACGTGCACGAAAGGTTGTTTTCATGTGTACAATTGTTGTTTTTAACGAGTGATTTCGGTAAGTTTGGTTCAAACTACTTCCTTTGTTAGTTACGTGCATGTTTGTCTTTGACATTTTGCATATTAACAAAATCTCAGAACAACATAACCAAGAAATTTACATTGTATGATCCTAATGATATTTTTCAGGTAAGCCCACAACGCATCACTCCAAACCAAGAACATTATTTCTCCTTATCAAGTTGTATATATTTATATATTTTATGTATATGTGTGTGAGTGATCACGTGAACTCCACCTTTGTCTAAAGTTTGTGTTCAGCAAACAAAATAAAACTTTGAAGGACTTCAGAGATGGATCTTTGAACACTTGCAGGGTTTGAGCTCGTTTGTTTCAGACATCTTAATGGGATTTTTGGTTTTGGACAACGTCCTCTGTGCTATACAAGATGAAGAGCGAGATAAATACATGTGTACCGTGTATTTGGACAACAAAATGTGGTTAATAATTATACTGGTTCTTCAAACAGATTAGTACGTACGTATTAGATGGCATACTACGACGACTACATAAATGTTTTATGAATTCGATATGATGTTTACTAAAGAAAAATATCGCTAACTGATGTATTATTTGTGTAATATATTAGTGTTTCCACTAGTACTAGGTTATGGGGCTCTGTTTCACACAGCTCATAATATGATATTTACATGTTATTTTAAGAGATATGCTGGTAGGCTAAGCTGATGTAATTGCTGTCTATTTCACTAACAAATTATATATTTAGGTGATGTACTAGCTAAGCTTTTGATGCCTACTTAGGTGTGTGTTCCTATTAAGGATTTAGTTTAGGTGCTTATTAAAGATTCTGCTGTTTGTCGATAAAATAACATGATGTTTATAAACATGTACCCTTTTAAAGGAGGTTTAATATAGTTTCTTTATCTTGGCTTCTCTTCAAAAAGTTAGTTACACACGTGGTTTCAATAGTTTAGTTACACACGTGGTCTTTATGGTTCATCGTAATCATATGCTAATATTGGTCTTAACTAGTCAATCTTTCGGTGTGTTGAAACGAAAATAATTTGGGATTATTGTAATACGTTACTACTGTATATGCTGTGTGAATTTTATTATATACAATATTTTGTGTAAGTGTTCATATCACCACTATATTCTATATGTAACCGAGTGTAATCAGAGTTATAATCTGTTGGTCATTTGGGTAGTGATTCTATATATATATATATATAAATATATTAAATGGCTTCTAAGGGATCAAGGTAATTTGTTTATTAGTTTAATGCAATGTATTTAAAATATGAAAGCTGTTAAGAATACCTGTATCATTGAAAAATACCCGTATCCTTGCATCTTATCCTCGTGGATATTCTTACATTTGCTAACTAATTGCTACATAATAATATGAGGATTTGATGTCATTATTGAGTTGATCCTCATACTCAGTTTGCTTTCTGTACACTTTACAAATAACAATAATATGCATTGCAAGTAGTACACTTTATAGATAACAATATTAAGCGAAAAAGTAATACACTTTATAGATAACAAGACTAAGTATGACATGTAATAAACTTTATAGATAACAATACTAAGTATAATATGTAACACACTTTATAGATAACAATACTAAGTATGACGTGTGATACACTTTATAAATAACAATACTAAGTATAATATGTAACACACTTTATAGATAACAATACTAAGTATGACGTGTGATACACTTTATAAATAACAATACTAAGTATGACGTGTGATACACTTTATAGATAACAATACTAAGTATAACATGTAATAAACTTTATAGATAACAATACTAAGTGTAACATGTAATAAACTTTACAGATAACAATGCTAAGTATAACATGTAATAAACTTTATAGATAACAATACTAAGTATAACATGTAATAAACTTTATAGATAACAATACTAAGTATAACATGTAATACAATATACAGATAACAATACTAAGTATAACATGTGATACACCATACAAATAACAATACTAGACATAACGTTTACTTAATATTAGTTTCCAAGCCCATTATTAAGTAATATAGTTACTTAGGGTTACTTTTAACGTACTAAATCGGAGTATTGTCTGAATGTGACAAAATACATCAATATTTGTATGTTTTTGTGTGTGGGTGCATTGAGCTTATTTCTATACTACCTATTTATATTACTAAATTAATATATGAAATATATAAAATAAACTTATATATATGCTTACATATTGCTTGGTGTAATTTTAAAGTGCCATTTTCAGACTCGTCAAAGCACTAAAAAGCGCGTCTCCATGTTCGCTGTGCGTGTAGTAAGGTACTCGTATACTTAGTGTTAGATATATTAATGCATTGTTGTACAGTTTTATTTCTTTTGCAATTGAGATAATTTCAAACCAGTGTGATTAAATCTATTTCACAGATGATTAAAACTACTTCACAGATGTTTAAATCTATTTCACAGATGTTTAAATCTATTTCACAGATGTTTAAATCTATTTCACA